ACAAATTTGTGAAGCCCGTGTTGCAGACCACGTTGCCCGTGTTGCCTGCGATCACGAGGCAGCCGGGGTTCCTCTGGTTCGTGGTCAGGGATAGCTGCGTCGAGAGGCTCTTCGTCTGCACCAGCGCCTCGTCGTTGATCATGATGAGCTCGCACTGGTGCGTCCCACCGTCCCGCGCCAGGAAGACCCGCGCGCTCTGGTTAATCAGGGCCGCTGTCGGGGGCCGCGCTGTTGTTGGACACTTGCAGCTTGCTCCAGCCCGCCCAGTTCTTCGTCAGGAAGAGATCGTCCGAGAAGTCGGAGGTGTTGGTCACGGTGAGCGCGTTGCGAAGAGCTGCGGCGCGGAGACCGTGCCCGAGCTCGTCACGTCGCCGCAGACCACGCTGCCCGTCGACACTCCGCCGCTCATGGTGACAAGCTCAGCGGGCTGAAACTTGCCTGCTTTTCCGGGCAGAAAACGGAATCCAGAGCACGGCGAACGTCTGGAGCCCGATTTCGACCGAAAACGAGCGAATTTGGAGGCCCAGGCACCACATTTGACGTCTGACACGAAAAAAACGAACTTTTCGGAGTTGACCGTTTTGAGCGCTTTTTGCACCAAAAACGGAGCGGTGACGCGGTGACATCGCTGGTGACGAGTTCAGCTGGTTGAAAATTATGCAGTTTTGGCGGGTTTTTTTGGCAAAAAAACACAAATAATTAGGGGTGTATAAGCTGCCTTTGCTTACTACTAGCTGCTCTTCACGGACACCGACTCCGTGATGGTGCAGATCTTAGTAGCAAGGAAAGAAGGCTTATACTACCCTAATTATTTGGGTTTTTTGGTCCAAAAACCATGCAAAACTGCATAATTTTCAACCAGCTGGACTTGTCACCAGCGATGTCACCTGCTTCGTCACCGCTCCGTTTTTGGTGCAAAAAGCCCTCAAAACGGCCAACTCCGAAAAGTTCGTTTTTTCGTGTCAGACGTCAAATGTGGTGCCTGGGCCTCCAACTTCGCTCGTTTTCGGTCAAAATCGGGCTCCAGACGTTCGCCGCTCTGGATTCCGTTTTCTGCCCGGAAAAGCAGGCAATTTCCAGCCCGCTGAGCTTGTCACCGTTCGCCTCCGCTTTGTCACCGCTCTCTTTTGGGCCGAAAAGTGCGCAAAAGCGGCCAAGTTCCCAAGAGGACTTCTTCGTTGGCAAGTTTGAGTCAATAATGGAACGGGCCGATTCATCAATGCGCAAGGTTGCTTCATTAATGCCCGGCCGCAGGTGAGGGCTGCTGCAGAGACAGCAGAGACAAGGTAGCGCTTGAGCCAGCTCTCGTACTTGAAAAAGCGAGGCCGGCTCCGCGGCTTCGGTCTGAGCGAGGCCGGCTCCGCGGCTTCGGTCTAAAAAGTCCACCGAGGTAGGAATTCCGACTTCGCTCCCCACCGAGGTCGGAATTCCGATTTCGCTCTCCCACCGAGGTCGAAATTCCTGAATGTTGTAATAAAAAAAAGAATGATATTAATTTTACATAAGTGAATATGATGTATATTGTAATCAATGCTGTGTAACAAGAGACCTTGAAAAGTTGTTTGTTGAAGAATATAAGGATATGGGATATACAAAGTTTCAATTAAAATTGAAATTCTTTATGAGATATCAAAAACGATTTCCTGTATGTTTTTACCATAAAATTGACCGAGAGTCATTTGAAAAAGAAATTGATGAGTTTTTTTAATAATAAAGATTTGATTAAAAGGTTTGGAGGAGAACTAAGCATTAAACCATATAAATCATTTGCTAAAGAATTTCGTGATTTGTTTGAAGAGATTGATTGGCATCTATTAAGCAAAGATAAAATAAACAAGGTCTTGAATGAATTTAGAATAACTAAATATACTATATGGTATTGCCGCAGCACCAAATATAAAGTATGTCTATTAGTTAATTTGTTTTTCTGGGAATATATTTATTCAATAATAGGAAAAGACAATATCAATTATATAGACATTGGTGATATTGATACATATGTAGATTACATATTTGAAGACATATTGCCTGACTGTTATCTTAAATCCTTAATTCTTAATTGAAAGATAATCATAACATGTAAGATATTATACGCTATAATTATTTTGTACTCATGGTTAGTTTCTTAATTTTTATTAATGCCTTAAAAATGACTTAAAGAAATAGTGCCTTAATATAATAAGAGGAAAATGAACGGTGATAAAATCAATAATTATATCGATAAAAAAATGCTATGATTGTTGTCACTTCAAAAAAGAAAATATGGAATTGTATAAATTGAATTTATCTAATGAAATAGTGAATAATATTTTTAAATATTCAATGGATGAAGAAGACGAATGTAGAACTTGTCAGGAATGGAGAGATACTCAAGCTATAATCAATTGTGCGTTGAGAACAAAAAGACGAAATAATAGAAATGTTGAAGATGACATCTTAATATTTCTTGCTGTTTACAATATCCCACCTTATGATTATGTTAGAGCGTTTATGAAAACCAGTAAGAAAAAGTATGAAATGATTAATGACATATTAAGGATGTTAGTAAATCGCAGAAGCGAAGAAGAGGACATAAAGGAAGCTATCAAATCATATATTGAAAGTGAAAAGTTTAATGTTAAAAATACAGTGAGAGATATTAACATTTTTTTAAAAATGATGTATGAAAGAAGTAAGATGTATCAATTAAATAGTTATCCTGAACTAGAATTATAATCATACTATGATTATCACATGTAAAATATTATATGTTATAATTGTAATATACTTATCGTTTGTAAAGATTGAATTATTTTATTTTCCTAATTTGCTTATCTCTTTCAAAGTGCGTTGTTTAGACTTGGTATGCGTCTTCAATTTTTTCGTGCTTTGGCTGTTTGTTTTTGTTTTGTTTGATACTCTTGTGATATTTTTTGTTGGTATGTTGCTTTGTTTTTTGTTGATGTGTGTTTTTGAGTTTGGGGTCTTTGATGATTTAGAGTGTTGCTGTTTTGTTGGTATGTTTGTTTGAATTATTTAATTTTGTATGCTGTGATTAAATATTTTTGTTGCTGGTTGTGATTATTTATTTTGTTTGCTTGTTGTTCTGGATTTTGTTTTCTGTTTGTTGTGTTGCTGTTGGAAAAAATAGTAGAAAGAATAAATCTTTGAATTCTCCTTTTACTATTTTTCCCCCAGCCAGCCGTGGTCCGGGATCGTACGGCCCAGGGCGTCGAGGTCCGCACGCTCGCCCTTCTGGCGCACCAGACTCCCCAGCGTCAGCTCGGGGTGCTTCCGATCCCTGACGGCATCCTTCCATGACTGGGGGGCGTGCGACGCCATGTGCGTCTGAGCGGTCGCGAGCTTGTTCTTGAGGGCCTGCAGCGCAGGCGGGATGCCCGCTAGCCGGCTCGCCTTGCGCCAGTCAGCGAGGCGAGCTCCAGCGTCCGGCGGGACAGGTTGTGCCTTCCGGGCGTACTTCAAGAACTTCCCCCGTGCGAGGGGGAAAGTCCAGTTCGGCCAACCCGGTGCCAGTGAAGAAGGCGTACCTGGCAAGCCTCGGGCCAGCACTGTCCTCGGCCGGTCAACCTTATGGGGACCTGGAGCCGGTTCGCCGGCTTACACTCGTAGCACTCCTCCGGCGCAGCCTTATTGGAGGCCAAGCCGCGCTCGATAGAAGCCCAGGGACATCTCGCCGACACGGATCCTCCACGTGTCCGCCATGTCAAGCAGATCGATCACAAAGGCCGCGTTGACGTGCGGCTTCGGCGCCTGCCACTCGAACACCGGTGCGGGGCCCGCGTGGCTGCGGCGGCACTTCCAGGAGAGCGCCTACCCTCTCTTGCAAGTGGGTGAAGACCTCGTGGCTGCCGCCCTTGTCCGGGTGATAGATGGCGTAGAGCCGCCGCGCCGCGGACGTGATCTCATCGACACCGGCATCCGGGCCGACGCCAAGAATGGAGCGGATAAGAGAGGGTGGCGAGGCTCCACCAGGGCAAGGGCTGTGTTCCCGCCCTCGGTCGAGTTCTCGAGGTCCGCGCAGAGCTGCAAGTACGCGGACCTGTCGTCGCAGTTGCCGATGATGCTCTGCATCGCGTGCTCGGCCTCCTCCGGGCTCCACGCCGAGTAGGTTGGGCATTCCATGGATTGAGAGTCCATGATGCGCTCGATGACGAATTGGTGGGAGAGGCTCAGAAAATCAAGGATTTCGGGCCAACCGCTTCACGTTGCGTCCACTTGCCCAACGCCAATGCAGTTCCTCGTCAAGAGGCCAAACACGTCTCAAACAATCACAGAACAGAAGTAAGCGTCGGACAGGGCGGCGCAGAGCCCGTCACATCCAGCCACACATCGTCCATTCCACCCAGGGTGGCCCGGCCTGAGAAGAGGCACCTGTCCGATGGATTGAGGCGGCTGAGGGAGAGGGGAGCCCGGACTTTTTTTGGACCCTTATAGGAACCTATAGGAACCTAAAGGAACCCTGTAGGAAATCCATAGGAAACCCATAGGAAACCAATGATGTGGGGAAAAACAAAGGGTCCAAGCCCTGAGAAAAGGCAAACTCCTTCAAATGCACGAAATGGCAGGCTCCAGTCATATGGCTGAGCGATTCAGAGACTCTCCGTTCACTGGCTTGATTGAAGTAGCAGAAGTGCGTAGGCCGGTCTTTCGCTCTGGCCGGCCTTCTCACACAGTCGTTGGCGCGAAAACACAGACGCACACACGCAAGCAAGCTGACCAAGGTCATAGGCATTAGGGATTTGGTTTCCGTGGTCCTACGCTGATTGCATCGGCGCGCAGATTTCTGCGAAAGCCGGATGGGCAGCTGTCGATGCTGGGATGGAAGCGCGAGGCCAGGAGAGCTATTGTCATTCGTATTCTAGCTTTGTGTTTGGCGGGTATGCTTTCTTGACCTTCAGCGTTTGCAGGTTGATCTCACCTCATCAGGACAGACTGATTACGTTCAAAGTTGGGCGTCCTTCACCTGTATTCGTCTAAGGTATTGAGGTGCTTGTGGCCGCAGCCATCTGAGTGAAAGCTGTCACAAGCTGAGTCGTCTCAATGGGCGGAAAGCAGTGCGTCGCCAACGGCGGGGCGCCGTTTCGCGCTAAAATAGTCATCAACAACCTGACGAAGGACTTAACGCTCAAGGAGCCAGGGACGTGCCATTGCCGCAAAGACGGGTGCGAAAGGAATCACCACAAAGGCTTGCACATGGATGCCGGCAAAGTGGTGCAAGGTGAGGAACCTCCCACTGTTCTGGACCCCTTGGACAGCGGGATGTTCGCGATATCGGCCCGGGAGAGCACGGCCTGCGGCCCAGACGGCGAGTTGCACTACGATGTGTGGCGCGACGGCGTCAAGTCCGGTACGGTCACGCTCTACTTCTCGCGTGACGCGAATTCGAGCACGCGCTCGCAGAACAGCAGGGTCAGCGGGTGCGTGAACAACGGCGAGTACGAGTTGTTTGGCGACTTCCCTCCGGACACTACGGATTGCACTTTCACACTTCGAAAACGCAAGGTCGAGGTCCGCCTGCGTGGGCAGCTGAGTGCACAGTTCGGAGGCGGTAGCCTGGACATGACTGTTCCCATCGAGGACATTCTGAAGCTCCCTGAGTTGCAAAGGCTGTTGGAAGGGATGGACCAGATGGGGGCCCAAGCGGACAAGCTGACGGAGGTCGTCAAAAAGCTGCAGGAGGAAGGCATCAAGTTCGATTTTGTGTCCGCCAACAAGCCCAGTTGGTGGCCTTTCTGAAGCACAAAGGTTTGATGCTGAAACTTTCTTGCAGTGTTGCTACGCTTGTTTCGATTTCGGCTTTCGTGCCTGCGCCAGTGTTGCAGCACGCAAAATATTTTTTTTTTTACGGGTGCAGCCTATGCCAGTTTCAGTTTCGGCTTTGGCTCCCATGCAGGCCCCTCGTTGGACATGGCTTTGCCAACTCCAATCTTGCGGCCGCTTTGGTGGAAACGGCGGCCGACAAGTTGACGTGCGTGAGTTGTGATCGTGCCGATGTGTTGCATCCCTCTCCATGCGGACTCACCCAACGGAACCATGCGCTTGCGAAGGCCCCCTGGCCCGCTGCCGCCGCAGCGCCTCGCGCTACTGCTCGAGCGCTTCGAGTCCCAGGCCTTTTGGAGCGTTTTTTTTCATCAATTGCTCTGTGTTATTAATACTCTTGAAACATGTCCACAGAGACGAAGATTGGAGTTTGGGGTGTCCAAGCGAGGGTGACAGTGATGGTGACAGTGGCCGTGGTAATGATACGTCGCAATCAAGGTCCAGGTACTGTGGTAGTGACAGTGCTAGATTGTGATTGTGATATTCATAAAGAGAGTTATGGTGACGGTGATGGTGATGGCGACGATGACGGTGACAGTGGTACGGATACTGGCGATAGTGAATATATGTGAATATGGTGGTGATAGTGACAGTAAATAATTGCGCTTGCAGTTGAGACTGTGATTGTTATGGTGATTGCGGTCATGATTGCGACTCTGTCTGCGATTGTGATTGCAGTTGCAGATGGCACAAGTAAGCTGCTTCCATTTCAACATTCTCCACGATTTTGCGGACTTTGGCGTCATTAGGTACTGTACTAGGACGATAGGGTTTCTCTAGCTCGTCCCCGATTCGCAGCATGACGTCGATTTTCCGTCGTTCTCTTGTCGATTTCTTCTGACACTATCTCAATTCCGTGTGAACGGGCAGGTCCGATTGGAGCACCTCAACAGGAAGTTGTTGCGGCAGGCGCGGTGGTTGCGCGTTTTGGATTGGCTGCACTTGTGACTCAGAGGATCAGAACAGAAGTTTCTGAGAGCATCATGGTGGTACCATTGGAGCTTTGCTCATTGCTGCGCCTGTTCATGCTGTGCATCTACGCTGCGTTGTCAGGACTGGATCGTCGATGTGCAGGTCCGGCACTCGAGTCACGTTGCGTGAGCTCTGTTGCAAGTGCGAAGCGGTCAGCACCTGAATGCTCCAGACGGCGCGTGAAGTAAACACAAGGCTGTCACGGCACATGCTTTTTTCTGGCAGGGGGTCAGTGCCTGGCCTGTGAAAGTTTTGATGTCATGCGGCATGCGGTCCCTTTGAACTTTGAGAGCAACTTGTGTTGAAGGACCACAGTCCCATCGCAGGCGATCAGGCCGCCGCCAGATGGAGTTATGGTGCTCCTGTCCGTGCAACAGGCCGCCTCGTGACTGGGCGCGAACGAGCCGGGAAGGTATCTTGCGCAGGAGCGTAATTGCATCAGCGGATGACTTGCGCACATACAGAAGATGCGTTGCACTGCGGGTGTGGCACTCAGGGTCTGCGCGGAGGCCTGTGACTCCGAGTCCTTGCGGAGCATCTGAGTTGTCCAGTGGCTTCGAATCACCACACGATCAAGATGTTGTTTGGCTGCGCCAGGATACCGGCGCCGATTTGGGCCAGTATTCTTGACTTCACGTGCAGAGCCCTTCAGCACACTGGTATCTGGCCCACTCCGCTACTTCGTCCCGGGAGGCGTTTGGCCTTGCTGATGCGTGTGAAGTGTCACATTTCTCACGGAAGCCGAGTGATGTCAGTCTTGCAAGCTTTCCAGATCCGCACATCCAGCTGAGTCGGACAGCCAGAGCCCCTTTGCTTAACGGCCTGGGAAAGTGCTCGTGCTGATCCTAGTTCCATCGATTGGCTGATTTGGCCCTGCCTGTCGTTGTCCCTGAGGCGGACCTGTTGCACACAGTCTGCATGTCAGCCAAGAAGCTTGCCAACCGAACGAGTCGGAGGGGTCCGGCGCGCTCCAACGGCTCCAGGGGATTTGGCGCGCCTCACTGTTCTTTGCAAGAAAGTCCACCGCGAGGAATATACGACTGCGTGGATTTGCAATCCATGCGCGTGCAGATTAGAGATCAAGAGCGGGTGGAGCAAGATATCGCCAAAATTCGCGCCGCACTTGAAGCGCTAGACGATGAGGCTCCAATCTGGATTGCACACTCATTGTGTTGTGTCCAATGTTTCCAAACAATTCAGCACAGTCAAGCGCGAGCTCAGGTCCGTAAGGGCTTGCTCGTTGGTGGCGCCGTGCCGTACTCAAGTGTTGTGAAGGAGCTAAAGGCTCGCCGTTTGCAACCTGCGGACTGACAAGGAATCCGTGACGAGTTTGGCAACACGTGGTTCTGTCATGACGCCAGGTCTTTTGGCGCAACGCCTGTACTTGCGAAGGGAAACACTATCAGTGTGGCCGAGGCGGTTTCAGCTACACAAATAGTCCGGTTCGCAGAAACCTGGACTATGCGGGATCGTAGCATTTTCTCTGGAGGCGTTGTCGGTGTCTCGCAGACACCACTGACTCGAAAGTAAAGTACAACAAAATAAAAGGTAAGCAACTGCAAATGCATGCAATCCAACATGTTGTACAGCAAGGTATCGAAAGGGAGTGGACGTTCTCCCGTCCACTCGATCACTGCTGAATTCGATGACCGGAAGGTACTGGAGGCATGCAGTGAAAGGTGGGGGTGGGTGGGTTTGAAAAAGTTTCTATTCGCCAAAATGGCGATCGGTACACAGGCACTCATCACATGCAGCGCACAGCACTTGACATTCCAATTCAAGTGCGGGTATGAACCCTTTCGCTTGCGCTTGTTACTTCTCACACAAGTGTGAACACACTGAAATCGAAATCACACTCCAACACAACAAGCAGAAAACAGTTTTTGTGTAACCTCCAGCGGCCACTTTCACGGGTCTGCAGTTTCATTAAGCAGACAATTGCAGATGCTTGGAACACGTTTGAGCTTTATTCAAGCCTGTTCGCACAGTGACGTTATGTGGATTCAATTTTTTTGGGCACTGCGAAGTTGCTCCAGGATTTGCTTCGGCTGAGAATGAATGGATGTGTCGTTGTGCCACCTTCTTGGTTTTCTGTGTGACGTGCTCTTTACCCTTCGCTGGCACTGGTGGTCCAACGGAGAAACGGTGGCCTGGTTTTTGACCGGTAGCATGCTATACCGGGGGGGCTACCAGCGCCGCCTTGCGTCTCACCCCTTCTAAGATGATCGGCTTTGCTCCATTGTAACAGTCAATGTGCTGTCGTAATTTTATGGACTTGGCGCTGCATTCATGTTGTGGCGCAGTCGTATCAGCCTTGCTGGCTCTCGGTTACGACATGTGAGAAAACTCAACGTTTGGTTACAAGGAGTACCTGGGTCTTGCTTTTTTTAAGTCTTTTGCTGGCGGGTGCCTTGCTTTTGCACCTGCCTTGATTGAGAATTCGTTTGGGCTCGTCTATTGCTCCTCTGGATTGCTTGCTCGTTTCGCTGTTTCCATTGTCGACCGGCGACTATGCTGTAGGCGGCACGGGGAAAACTCATCCTGTCTATTTTTTTGCAGTTTTGGTCCACACATTTTTTTTTTTTTTTTTTTTTTTTTTTTTTTTTTTCCGGGCACTTGAGGATTTTCACTTGAATTTAAATATATCTTGTCTGTGCCAAGAGGTATCATTCTTACTTAGGTACCTTGTTCTCATTGACGTGGTGAACTGTGATCATGCAGCTACGATTCGGTTCTTTCACTCGCCATGCAGTGCTTTGTTTGACGAAGACCTGGTTGAGGCTTTTGTCTCGGTGTTTTTTGGAGATTGTTGTGCTAATTTGTTTTCTTTTTAGTTTCATTCCCCAGCTTCTATTTTCGTCAGTTTTTCCTCATTGAAACAGCAGACTTGCGTAATCGCAGATGGCCGCATGGAACAAGAAAAAACGAGTCTGTGCTGCTTGTTGGCAGTGTGCACGCTTCCCTTGCTCAGCAGCATAGTGCCTCTTTGCAGCGTTTCTGAAGCTCGCACGAATGCTACCACCTTTTCTATCCAGAAGTACCCTCGTCAATAGTGCTTAGTGGACATAATTTCCAAGGCCCTTGTTAAAATGCACACTCAAATGGGACAATCTTCTGTCAAGTTGTGTAACTATTTGCTTACTGACTGAAATTTCTTTCAAACAAGACGCTCGGGGGGTTAGGAGTGGCAAGCTCCTTCCAGCATGTTCAACTAATTCTTTGGGCGAAGTCGCAATCTGACGACCTGCCTACCATTCAAACCCTGGGCAAAACCTTAGGCTGGGCACCCATGTCTTTCACATCGATCACGTTGGAATCTTTTGCTTAGTTCTTGTCCATGGGAACATTCAGATTCCAGCAAGACTTTGGGGCCACATTCTTTGGAGCAGGTCAATTTTCCATGGAGCCTTTAGATCTCCTCGTCAGATTTTCGATGAGAAGATGTTAAAAGGACTCCGGGGTAATCAGGGTCAATCCATTCTCAACTTCGCAATTTCCGTTCGCGCGATTTCCGTCCGTCGTGCGAACTGGCACACCTTTTATTTGGTTTTGCAAGTACGCTCCAAAAGCTTCGAACTGGGCATCCGTGACGCGCTGGACAAGGCACAACAAAATGCCATCATGTGGGGTTTTCGTGCCGGGTTTTCCTAAGAAAAAACACCAGCCAAAAGGGGGGCGTTCTTCAGTCTTATGCCATAACGACTGGCTTGCTGGACTGTGGACCTCTTAAGATCCGAGGTCGAAAGATCCTAAAAACAGTTTGGTACAACATCTCTTTTCAAAAACTAAGGGTCCCAACTCCATCTATCTGAACTTTTGAACTGTGCAGGGATCGACAGCTAGTTTTCGGTAAAACTGTTACATGCTCACCTGTGTTGCTAAGCTGACTAAACTATTTATTGATCGGTTTGAGAAGCGACCGTTGGCTTCAGCCATAGGCAGCTACGCTGACTGGGGTTCCCATTGGGTTGCTGTGCGGCTTTGTGGCTTTTTTGGGTCCGCAAGCTGCTGTGTTTGGATGCAGCCCTGGCCACCGGGGGCGGGGGTTCTTTCTTTGGCCGGTAAGTTATTTCTTCTTTTTCTCGTTGGCTTGAAAGCGCAACCAAGGACACCCACAATTCAACAGGTCCGAAGGCTGCGTTTTGCTCGTCTACCACTTTTCCTGCGGCTGAAACACTTCAGCGTGTGACGCTGACGGCACAGGGCAAAGTGCGTGTCTCGTGAGGCTGTGCTGTTTCCGGCTTTCACTTGGGTTTGGGTGATATCAACAAACCATGGTTTGTCATGGTGTCCAAGTGGTGCAGGATTTCGTCCATCCACAGTACATCAAGAAACCATTTTCCCCACCTTTGTTATTTTCACCAATTGTACCTCTCTCCCAGGTTTCAGGACTTCCGTTGAATTCCGAATTGTGGAAGGACATTTGGCTTCTTTGTCACTTTGCACCCCCTTGACACAGAAAGTGGGATTTTCGTGTCACTGTTTTTCTATCGGGGTGCTTTCCTTTACCTGGTGATCGCGTTGGCGATCGCGTTGGCAAGTTGCATTGGCAACCTTTCGCCGGCTCAAACTTCTTGCAGAGCTTTCGGTTAGTGTCTTTGTCAGAGTTGTAGGTGTGGGCGACAGTTGCACGTGTTGACGTTTCCATTGCAGCGAATTGGTTCCTTCGGTTTGCTCGGGCTAAAGCGAAAACGCGGTTCAGCGGCTGCGTGCGATGGCCTTGCTCCTTCCTGCGCCGATTGATGATCCAAGAGCGGCGTTGCTCCTTGGATAAGCAGGCAAAGACACAATCACACACGCACACACACACACACAATCACACACACACACACAATCACACACGCACGTACGCACGCACGCAACCACACACACACACACACACACACACACACACACACAAACACCATTACGCACACGCACACGCCCGCACTTTGTCATGGCAGGGTACCCTCCAATGTTCCCGTTTTGGTTCGTGGGTGTGGGACCCACTAATGGAATCGACCCTGAAAAGGATTCCAATTCTCTTTGCTGGTTCCCAGACAATCAGGTGTGTGTAAGCAGTGGATTCTTGAAGGAAACCGGAACGGTTCAGTCTGAGAAGCTACTTTTGGCGTCGCTGGGGTTCTGGCCGAAGGTGCAATGCCGCAGAGACGCCCAAGGCGGAGCCGGCCATTTGTGAGCCACGGTGAGGTTTAGAGAAGCGTTTTTTGAGGGCGAGTTCTCCAGTGTTTGTTTCTAAGCAGGGGGCAAAGTTTGTTTGAAGAATCACCCGCCCCATGTTTATGTGGGAAACCAACAGGATGTCGGAAAAATGCAAGGAGTGTGTGACTCCGTGCAAGGGCTGGCTTGGCCAAAGCCTGCTATCCTGGGATGACTCCATATTTGGTAGCGACTTTAGCTTGGAGTGCCATGGTCAAAGCCCTCTCTGATGGTCGTCGAGGGGGAAGCCAAGGCTATGGGAACCAATACTTCTCCGGGCTGAGGGTCGTCGAGGGGTTCTAAAAGGCACGGGAGCCCTGAGGCACAAAACGTTGAGCCTGAGATGCCAAGCAGCTGGGTTTGGGGGGTTTGGGGCTTTTATGGGGTGGACGAGAAAGGGGTATCGGTATATGTGAGAGTGCGAATCTTTTTGCGGTGAGCCGCGAATTGGGCTTGACCTAGAAAAACGATGCGATCATTTTTTGGTACGGGAGGGCGTTCAGTCAAGCCGGAGTCGGTGCCTCTTTTTGTGGAAGGGGCGAGGGAACTCTAATCCGAAGCCCCAAAAAGAGGGGGGGGGGGGGGGTAAGACCAAATAGACAGACCCATTATTCATATCACTCTCCAGCGGTGCTTTGCTATGCCCAGAGAATGGCCGCGAGAGCCAAGGAGCTCTTTGATGATCAACTGGCCGTGGTGAAGACAGTCAGGAACACTGACTGGTCCGCGGCCCAGATCGTGCCAAGCGCATGGTTTTGGAGTCCGTTAGACTCCAAGACCCCACCCAACGGGCATGGGCTGAGTAAGCCTTATTTCCCGCTATAGGCACCTCCAAGCACGTACCGAGCTTCGCATCCGTTTCACCGGTCCAAGACCCGCTGAAAACTTCGCCACGGGCTTCCGAGGGTTCCGCCTAGAGCTGGAGGTTCTGAGCACCAGACTCTGGTAGCGGATTTTGCGTGAGCCAAGTAGACGTGCCAGGCGCTCCTGTGGTCCTTTTAAACTTCCCACCAGCGGGGCGCCATTGCCCAAAGTGTGGTCCGGCGTGAAAACACCCACATGTGAGCCAGAATGAACACGCGGGTAAATTGAAGGTTAGCAAGGGATGGTGCCAACCGTAATTCTGCATTATTTATGGCGAGCTCAGCAGGGGGTAAAACGAGCTCACCATGATAAGGGTCCTTTACTTGGGGATTCCACTATTTCAGGTTTGAAAATACAATTGCAGAAGAAATGGTTTGCATTTTTTTTTTTTAAAACAAATAAACAACATAACACATCTTGAACACATGTTTCTGGGACGAGCATTTACATGCTGGCGCTCAGTAGGAAGTGCGGGAATGAGTTCAAAGATTCCCTTAAAGGAAACCATCAGTTGGATGGTTTAAATCAGGGTAATTCCGTTTCTAATTTTTTGCTTATCCCACCAGCCAAGATGTATTCCACCGGTTTTGGATTGTAACCCAGGCTGTTTTTCTTCTTCTTTTTTTCTTCTTTTTTTCTTAATTCTTGAACCCAGCCAAACCCTAATCCTGAAACCTACAACTTGAAACCCATCATTCTGAACCCCTAAACCCTAAACTCCCAAACCCCTACTGTTTGTGGGACCTCCATCCCCTTAGCTTTTCAGCCTTTTAGTGTTGAGTGGTAGTTTCCATTTCAGCCAGTAAAAGTTTTCGACTTTTAGCGGGGGATCTGAAAACTGGCAGCCCAGATTCTTGAGCCCATGATTTTTCGGGAGGACCGGATTTTCATTCAGCGGATGGACAAAATCCACCACTTTGAAGCCACTGGAAGCCCCTTGTTCGTTCGTATTTGCAGGGCAATCAAATCATTCCAGGGCTTAGGTGGTGCGTTGGATGGATTTCGGATCCATCCACAGTACTCATGCGGTTTTTTCGTCGATCCCGGCGCCGAGGCTGGAGCTGGTGGGGAAGCTCCGCACCGAGTGCTTCCGCACCTCCGTGACGCTGCCGCCCAAGGGCGCCGTGGGCATGCGCCTCTTCGGGGAGACCCGCGCCTGGGACGGACTACATAGGTGGCTGCAAGGGTCTTTGGTTCCATTTGCCAAGGTGCCATCTTTTTTCTTTTCTGCTGCAGCCAAATGAAGGCGTCGAAGGCGCAGAGCGTTGCGCCAAACATGGGCGCGAGGACGCGAGGCGGCAGGCGTGAGGCGACACGACACGAAAACAAAAGCCTTCCGGTCTCCGGGGCTTTTGAGGCGTCGAGGCTTCAAGGTGTTAGGCCTTCTACTCCTTCCGAATCCTACATGGCCCCGCGAGCCCGCCAAGACACGCATTTTGAGGATGTCAGGCGAAGACATGAGGTCCGAAGGAACCGAGGCTGCTTCAGGGAGTCTGACAAGACAACTCTACACGCGCTGACGTGTTGGGTATCAAAGTGCTCGACTTGGACCTTCGACGCGATCAGAAGAGCATCTCAAAGCCTCAAGACCGCTCTACAACAAAATCGGCTCATTCAATCGTGTGGCTCCGTGAAACCCGGAAGATCTGAAGGCCTTCAGATTTCTGTCTTCGCATCTTCGTGTTTTCATGTCTTCGCATGCACCCTTGCTCCTATAGCCCACCCATGAATATCTGAGATACTGCGTGCGAGAGACTTCGGGTATTCCGCAGAGTTTCGCAAAAACCGCGTGACAACAAGACATGGACAGTTCGTGGTGTCACTTGCAGCGAGTTGTGGCGAGTTTCGGCGAACATATGAAGACACACCGACATGACACGAAGACGCATCTTCAGTTCTTTAATGCTTCAAGGAGTGAGCGGAGATTGGGCGAAGAGACATACACACAAAGGTGTTTCAGGGCTTCAGGGAATTGATGTCGCTCGGGCGAAGACGCCAAGGCACGAAGACACGCAAATTCATGGATAAGGCGTTTGGCTAAGCGGCCCACATGTTTGTTCGGGCTTCTTTCTGAAACCACCCCAGGAATAAGACTGACGCCCTCCTACAAACAGAGTTGGTTGGTGAGCAGGGCTTTCACGCACGAAGTGCGCGATTAAAACCTCCCCACTAACGCTAGTGAATCTGGCTGATTTGATTGGGGGTTTGCAGCCCATTGCAAAGGAAGGCCGGGTCTCTCCCTATCAGTTTGTCGAGTTTGTTTGTTCGGGTTGGCAGCTCCCGTCCAAATGTCTGGCTTTGTTTCGGTTTCTTCAAGCTTTCCGAAGTTTCATGCCAGCAAAACCTGGGCAGGTAGCGGTTGTACGGGCCAACCCCCGGGATGAATTTTCTTGGACTGTGTGGCAACACGCCTTGTTGTTTCGTTAGCATGGTCTTTGGCTAAAGCCCTCGCAAGACCGGTTTTGGTGGCTGTTCAAAAGTTGGACCCCAGGCCAATTTGAAGAGGACAAATCTGGAAACTTGTAATTGACTGGTGTGAGCGGGGAGCCCCCTCAAAACAGGGTACCCGAAATTCTCAGCTTTAAGCAGACGACAGTCCATCCCGTTCCTTCCTTCGATTTTGATGTTTGGGTCTGCCTCAATGTTCACCCTTTGGGGCCCGCACTTTGCCCTTTCGGTGGTTTCGTTTTGGCCGCCGGGTTAGAGTGAACTTCCCTTTGGCGGTTTCCGTGAACCCTTCCAATTCTCCAACCCATGCGCATTTCCGAATGTTGATCTCGGAGCAACCCAAAGGACCATATTAATTCGAGCAATCTCTAATTCGATTCTTCATTGAAAGGGAACGGCCTGATTCGAAGTTGACCCTGCTCGCAACAGGATGAACTCCACTTTTGGGCCGGGGATTCAACAGCGGATTATAGCCTGTACTCAGAATCAACAATAGCCTCAACAATCTAAGTTAAGATGTATGTGTTGTTGCTTTTCCCCATCCATTTCTCACGCGGGGATGTGTCGATTTCGGATTAACCCAGAGCATACTAAAAGCCCGGGAAACAAGTCAACACCAATCAAACCATGATACTAAGTGATTGTTGGAGTCTACATGACGTGATTAAGCCATTTTGAACGGTAAAATCAATCCGACAATGGTGCAAATGAGGATGAAATTCCTGGGGCGCCTCCGTGCTTCGGACGCTTGGCGCGCTTTTGCTGCGAAGTCGAAAAAGCCGAGGTACCAGCTGTGCGGGGCTGGTCTGGGACCGGTCGCAGGTGGACCTCTCGGCAGCGCCGCGAGCCTGGCAGGGCGGGGGTCGGTTTTTTGGAGGTGAGCCCTCCGGTTTTCGCCGCTGGAAACCGCGCGGAAACCAAAAGGGAAACCGAAGTTCACTCGGTCTGGGTCTCTGTTTCTCACCTTGAGAGAGAGGGGTTTTGCCGGGATCCCAACAAAGAGATGCCCATAATATGAGCTTGTCTCCAAATGCGGGAGCCGCCACAACCATTGGAGGTTCTTGGGGGCTCCAACCTCAAGAACGACACACTCAGTCAAGCCCGGAGCCGGGCGGAAATTTCAAAGATGCTACTGTTGTGAGTTCTTTGCTGCTAAACGCCTTTCTGGGCCTCTGTCTCTTTCTCATCCTTCTGTGTCTCCGTCTCGGGCTCTGTCTCTCACCTCGAGAGAGGGGTTCTGCCGGGTTCCCCCCCAAAAAAGGAAATGCTCCTGTGAGTTTGTCTCCAAATGTGGGAGGCGCCACAGCGGGAGCCTTCCCCTTTGCTCCTTTTGATCAGCCCCCAATCTGAGCCGATCTCTCGAAAACACATTTGCTTCAAGTGTGGTCGACTTTTTATTTGGCGGGGCGCCTGAGGTATATTTGGCCCTCCGGGTACATGGCCAAAACGGAGTTCAACATGAACCACAAGGCAGGTGCCCGCGGTTTGACTTTGCGAGGCACCAGAAGCGACAAGACGACTGTATCCCCAAATATTTTTTAGAACGCGGGAACTCAGATGGTAATTGTAAAAGTGCACCCCAACAAATGAATTTGGCCGACCTCAGAGCAGCTGAAACTGGTCTAAAGGATCACCCGGAGCATCGAAGCCCAATTTTGGGTCTGTGTCGTTTGGCCAGTTTGCATTTGTTCCTTTTTTTCTTTCTTCATTTTTTCAGCCATGCGGAAACATCAAGGAGGTAGGCCGACCTCGACACTGTAAAAGGATGCTTAGATTTTTGTTGAGGAAAAACGAGCCCTCCGTTCTTCCACGGCAACTTTTTTGCCTGTCGCCTTTTGAAGGACCAAACAAGGGAAAGGGTTTGGCTCAAATTTTGAGCAAAGGGGATGTTCAATCCCTCAACTCATCCCGAGTTATTCGCAAACCCGTCGCCCGGTGCTTCCAGGAAGCCATTCTCGTAGGCCAAGTGAAAAACATCTCAACCTCAAACGGTCAATTCATCTCGTTGCCTACTGCAACGACAACTGGCATTTACGTAGCCATTCACTGCTTTACCTTTTTGCCCTTTGGGGTTTCCTTGGATTTTTTGAACATTGTCACTTGCAGGTCGGAGTCTGGCCGAGACAGGATTCGCCCATCTGTGCCAGTTCACCCAATCAAATAAAGATATACACAGAATATACACCTATATACATATAAGAAGGCCTATGCACGTGAATGTGTGATTTGGGAGAATCTGCCAGGGTCCCTGAAAGAGGATCTTGGTCTTCCAGCTCCCTAAAAACTTGGGAGACGTCCCGCGCTTCGAGGGCGATTTTCCTCAGGGCGAGCTGGTGAACGGCCGATCCTCCGCTCTGGTGACCATCGAGCGCCTCAAGGAAGAAGATCGCATGCTCTTTTGGGGACCCCGCGGGTGTTGGGGGATAAGCCGCAAGGTCAAGCCGGATGGGCTGGATCACGGTTCCAAGCAGTCCAACCTATGGGTGTAGCTCCTTTTTTGAGGCTTTGTGATGGAAATGGGTCATGGATGCCCTTTCTTGAGTGGTTTGGACATTCTCTGTTTTCTCGCCCATTTCTCAAACCCAAAGAGCCCCATGATACCTTAAGGGGCCCGATCTGAATGTTGTGTCCACTGGGGTTTGTGTGGAGGCGGACTTAAAAGGGGCGTCCTCTACAGAAAGGAGGTATAGCCATGTTGGGTTTGGTTCACCAAAAGGTCAACTGGTTTTGAGCTGCTCAAATCAGTTGCACTCCAGTTGGCATTCATTCCTCAACCATCAGAAGAGGCTGATCTTGAGACCCCAAGGGACCGGCAGGCTACTAGTCACGCTGGAGGACTACTAAGTGCCATGCGTGATTATTCATCTAGGGGTTGATTCCTTGTCCATTCTTTTGAACCATCGTTCTTTTCAACAACCGGATCTGTTTCCCCTGGGTTTTTGATGGTTTTCTGAAAAGATTCGGAACCCTGGAAAGAAGGGAAATGGAAGGTACCCGTAGAATTCATGACCTTCCCATGGCTCCCCTTATGCGCTGAAACAGTTTTGGATAAGCGGAGGATCGCCTGGAGGTTCCTTGAAATCTCGATGTGCGAATAAGAGATGATTCATCATACATCGCGTAAGAAGATGTCTGACTGGGACCAGCGTCAGAACCACTACCAATCAGAATCGGAACATGCAAACTCAAAGAAGTCGAAGATTTCTTCAGGAGTGTAACGCCAAGCGCCTGACGACCAACGCAGACACCGGCGAGCTGCAGGAGGCGTCCGCGTCCGCCCGGGGGGTGGGGGGAATTAGGATAGGCCAAACAAGGGCGAGCTTACTTCTAAGGGGTTTTGTGTTACGGAAATGTGCCTAAATGGGGTCCATACCCAGTGGGTGTATTCCCAGGGTGTAATACAAGAACCCTTAGAGTACTTCAAAAGGCGAGTAATTCCCTAACAAGAACAGGCCTGATAATTGTCGTTTCTGCCCCAAAACCGACACACCCACCCAAGCCTGGTTGGCTTGCTCGCCTGCCTTTTTTTTGGCTTGGCGCATTTTCCCATTTTTTTTGTGGCGACCCGATCGGAACCTCCGAGGGTTCAACCGGTTAAACAGAGAAAGTCGACTTCACTTTCTGAGGCCGGCAGCTTTTGCCTAAGGAACGAACACGGTGCACTCTCCGTACCTAAACCCAGTTGCCCAGTGGCGCGTTGTTTTTCTCTCTTTTTTTTGGGGAAGGGTTCCCCTTTAAAGTCAAGCGACCAAAAATGGATGCCCTTTTTTCCCATGGCCACTGGGCATCTGTGTAAACATGGTGTGCTCAGGAGGCTTGTTGTGGAAATCACCGTTTTGCTTTGGCCAACATCGGTTGGTTTATCCAAGGTTTCGTCCATGGGCGCGCTGTGCCTTCGCCGCGTGCGCTCACTGGTTTCGGGCAGCCCCCCGCATCCGCTCCAGCTCAGGTGCCGGAAGGTGCACCCATGAGCTTCAACGAGATCAACTGGCCCCACGGCCAAACGAAGATGCCGAGTCTCTCGCCGTTTGAGCAGTTGGGTTCCGGGTACCGACAGGAAAGCTCATGGGATTCTTGGGAATTCGACAGTTGCTCGGCCGTAAGCCCAGTCTCCTGGTGATGTTGGGAACCTAAAGGCTTGCAAGGCCTGCAGGGGAAACCCCCTCGTTGGAAGCGGCTCCTCCGGTTGGGGATGAGCACAAGGGATGCATGATTTTTACCCATTGGCCTTTTCCAACCATCTCCATATTTTGCTGCGTGAGCCGATTTGAAGATTTGAAGATGACGGGTCCTCCCCCAAAGTTTGACCCTACCACCAAAATTTCTGGTTTTCTTGGTCTCCGTTTTTTTTGGGTAAAATAAAAAGAAAGCGATTTCAAGGGACCCCCCCCAAATTTGGCCGCTTTGCTTAGTCTCCAAATTTGGTTTTCTTGGTTTTCTTGGTGACCTCTTGGCTTTTCGGATGAGCCGATTGGAAGGGCCCGTCCTTGGGGTGGACCAAACCCTCGCCCTTGAGGCCCTGCCGCGGAGCCAAGGGCATCGTGGGGGTCTTCGTGCGGTCCCCGGAGGTGCAGCACGTGCTGCACGGCCTAGGCCGGAAAGAGGGGCTTTGTTCCAAGTCTGTTTTTTGTTTGTGTTTTTCTTTTTGGGTTTGTTTTGTTTTGTTGGTGTTTTTCTTTTTTGTTTGTTTGTGTTTTTCTTTTTTGGGTTTGTTTTGTTTTGTTTGTGTTTTTCTTTTTTGTTTTGTTTGTGTTTTTCTTTTTTGGATTTGTTTTGTTTTGTTTGTGTTTTTCTTTTTTTTGTGTTTGTGTTTTTCTTTTTTGGGTTTGTTTTGTTTTGTTTGTGTTTTTCTTTTTCTTTTTGTTTGTGTTTGTCTTTTTGGGTTTGTTTTGTTTTGCTTGTGTTTTTCTTTTTGTTTTGTTTGTGTTTTTCTTTTTTGGGTTTGTTTTGATTTGTTTGTGTTTTTCTTTTTTGTTTGTTTGTGTTTTTCTTTTTTGGGCTTGTTTTGTTTTGTTTGTGTTTTTCTTTTTGTTCGTTTGTGTTTTTCTTTTTTGGGTTTGTTTTGATTTGTTTGTGTTTTTCTTTTTTGGGTTTGTTTTGTTTTGTTTGTGTTTTTCTTTTTTTTTGTTTGTGTTTTTACTTTTTGTTTGTTTGTGTTTTTCCCTTTTTTGTGTTTTTGTTTTTATTTTTTTTGGGTTTGTTTTGTTTTGTTTGTGTTTTCTTTTTGTTTTGTTTGTGTTTTTCTTTTTCGGGTTTGTTTTGTTTTGTTTGTGTTTTTCTTTTTTTGTTTGTGTTTTTCTTTTTTGGGTTTGTTTTGATTTGTTTGTGTTTTTCTTTTTTGGGTTTGTTTGTTTGTGTTTTTCTTTTTTTTTGTTTGCGTTTTTCTTTTTTGGGTTTGTTTTGTTTTGTTTGTGTTTTTCTTTTTTTGTGTTTCTGTTTTTCTTTTTTGGCTTTGTTTTGTTTTGTTTGTGTTTTTCTTTTTTTGTTTGTGTTTTTCTTTTTTGGGTTTGTTTTCTTTTGTTTGTGGTTTTCTTTTTTTTGTTCGTGTTTCTCTTTTTTGGGTTTGTTTTGATTTGTTTGTGTTTTTCTTTTTTTTTGTTTCTTTTTTTCTTTGTTGGTTTGTTTTGTTTTGTTTGTGTTTTTCTTTTTTGTTTGTTTGTGTTTTTCTTTTTTGGGTTTGTTTTGATTTGTTTGTGTTTTTCTTTGTTGGGTTTGTTTTGTTTTGTTTGTGTTTTTATTTTTTTTGTTTGTGTTTTTCTTTTTTGGGTTTGTTTTGGTTTGTTTGTGTTTTTCTTTTTTTGTGTTTGTGTTTTTCTTTTTTGGGTTTGTTTTGTTTTGTTTGTGTTTTTCTTTTTTTTTGTTTGCGTTTTTCTTTTTTGGGTTTGTTTTGTTTTGTTTGTGTTTGTTTTTTGTTTCGGTTTTTCTTTTTTGGGTTTGTTTTGTTTTGTTTGTGTTTTTCTTTTCTTTTTTGCTTCTGTTTTTCTTTTTTGGGTTTGTTTTGTTTTGTTTGTGGTTTTCCTTTTTTTGTGTTTTTGTTTTTATTTTTTTTGGGTTTGTTTTGTTTTGTTTGTGTTTTTCTTTTTTGTTTTGTTTCTGTTTTTCTTTGTTGGGTTTGTTTTGTTTTGTTTGTGTTTTTCTTTTTTTTTGTTTGCGTTTTTCTTTTTTGGGTTTGTTTTGTTTTGTTTGTGTTTTTCTTTTTTTTTGTTTGTGTTTTTCCTTTTTGTTTGTTTGTGTTTTTCTTTTTTGGGCTTGTTTTGTTTTGTTTGTGTTTTTCTTTTTTTTGTTTCTGTTTTTCTTTTTTGTGTTTGTTTTGTTTTGTTTGTGTTTTTCTTTTTTTTGTTTCTGTTTTTCTTTTTTTGTTTGTGTTTTTCTTTTTTTGGGTTTGTTTTGATTTGTTTGTGTTTTTCTTTTTTGGGTTTGTTTTGTTTTGTTCGTGTTTTTCTTTTTTTGTTTGTGTTTTTCTTTTTTGGGTTTGTTTGTTTGTGTTTTTCTTTTTTTTTTGTTTGCGTTTTTCTTTTTTGGGTTTGTTTTGTTTTGTTTGTGTTTTTTTTTGTTTGCGTTTTTCTTTTTTGTGTTTGTTTTGTTTTGTTTGTGTTTTTCTTTTTTGTGTTTGTGTTTTTCTTTTTTTGTTTGTTTTTTTCTTTTTTGGGTTTGTTTTGATTTGTTGGTGTTTTTCTTTTTTGGGTTTGTTTTGTTTTGTTTGTGTTTTTCTTTTTTTGTTTGTTTTTTTCTTTTTTGGGTTTGTTTGTTTGTGTTTTTTGTTTTTTTGTCTGCGTTTTTCTTTTTGGGGTTTGTTTTGTTTTGTTTGTGTTTTTCTTTTCTTTTTTGCTTCTGTTTTTCTTTTTTTGGGTTTTTTTGTTTTGTTTGTGTTTTTCCTTTTTTTGTGTTTTTGTTTTTATTTTTTTTGGGTTTGTTTTGTTTGTGTTTTTTTTTGTTTGTGTTTTTCTTTTTTGGGTTTGTTTTGATTTGTTTGTGTTTTTCTTTGTTGGGTTTGTTTTGTTTTGTTTGTGTTTTTCTTTTTTGTTTGTTTGTGTTTTTCTTTTTTGGGTTTGTTTTTTCTCGTTGTTTTTTGGGGGAGGGGCCGGTGTGGCTTTGTCTTGCCAATTCCTTTTGTCGGGTTGGGGTGGTTGGGGGGGTTCCGCGGCAGATAGTTTGTATGGGGGTTTGGATGTTCGTTCCCTCTTCGAGTTTAATCCAAAGCAAACCGAAGGACAGGCTGTTGAGTTTGAGTTGGGAAACAACCTCAAAAGTGGTTGGACTTGAATCCCCGCATGACCAGAGGGTCCCCAATCTGTTTGTCGCACCCATACTCCATTTGAGCCACACTCAAAACTCGGGTAGATGAAGGTTAGTAAGGGATGGTCCACTAGCTGCGGATATCCTTCGAAAATTCTTGAAGCATGGTTTTGGGATTACGAATATTTTGATACCGGGTTTTGATTGTGACTCACTTGTTTAACAAGTGGATGACGCTTGACTTTTGGACGTCCCTCGAAGTCCATTGAGCTTGTCGGGACATATGCTACAGTGGCAATTCTGGGTTTGGGCCGCTTTGGGGGTGGTTTTGATTATGACTCATGTGAGGTGCTGGGTACCGCGAATCCGCGAATGGCTCGTAGGTGTCATCGCCCTCTTGGAGCACGCGCTTGGCCTACAGCTGCCACTCGTGCTGCTGGACCGCGAATTTGTTGGTGCCCCCCGTTTTGGGTATGTGTCAAAGCCTATCAATTTGATATGACATATACGTGTATACTTATGTGATATATATATATATACATGTTTAATATATATATATATGATACATATATATATATATATACATAGGCAAAGAAGACACTGTTTTTGGTTAGAGCTCTTGTTTTCTCCATTTCTCTCTCTCTCTCTCTCTCCCCCTAATATATTAATATATGTGTATTTCAATTCTTATACTTATACAATGTTTTACCTTTTACACCACAGCTGGGGAACTCCCAACGTGGCGCGTCCCTTTTGGTTTACCTTTGAACCTAAAAGGGTACCGAGGCTCAAAGAGCACAAGCCCGATGATGCTTGGCGGTCTTTTTTTTGGTGGCTGTTTGTTGGAGTCCTTTTTCTTTTGGTTCCACTTTCGGTGCCTTCTTGTTTTTCTTTTTGTTGTCTAGTTGATGCCTTCTCTTGATCCTCTTTTGGTCTTTTTTTGGTTCTAGTTCTTCTTTGTTTGATCGATTTGTTGTTTCGGTTTTCTGTTCGCGATGGGGAATGTTTTTGGTCCTATTCTCCCTAGCTCTGATTGTGGTCCTACTGTTTGTGTCCATTTTTTGTTCTACTGGTGTTCTTTCTGTTCTGAGATTTGGGTTTGGTCCTTCTTTATCTTGCCGTACATGCAGAGTTTGTTTTCTTCTTTTGCTTTGTTTGTTTTCGTTGTCTTGTTCTCTTGGCCATATCCTTCCTCTTCTTGCCTTTACTCAGGTTGCCATTTTGTGTGCCGTGTGTATGGCCTTGGCCTTCGGTTATTCCCGATTTCGCTCCTTCTTGTTCTCTTTTTTACGTCTTTTGGTTTGTTGTTGGTTCTCTCTTATCCTTCGTTTGGTTCTGTCCTTTCTCCGTCCATCGTTGTGTTTGTTCGAATCTTTTCTTGTCCTTAGTCTTGATTTGTCCTTGGCAGCGATTATGTAGTTGTTTGTTTTTGGGTTTGGTTTGACCGTACCTGTTTGTCCCGATTTTGAGTTTTGCAGTCTGTTGTTGTCCTTAGTTTGGTACTGTCCCATTGTTTTCTCTTCTCTTTGTTTGCTCCCTTTCTTCTTTTAAATTTTCCCTTTCGCTCTTGGGTTGTTCGTGTTGCGATTGTTCCTCATTTCTTCCTTCAAATCGGTATTCGCTTTCTCGTAGGGAGGAGGTGGTCAGGCAGATTCTTGGTGTTTAACCGTTGGTTTCCCGCCGTTGGTCGTTTCCTTCGAGTCGTTGCCTTTGCTTAGCTTGCTTTGTTCGTTGCTTGAGCTTCGGAGCCCTGAGTTCAGCTCGGGTAGGGACCCCTGTCAAGTGATGCGAGTCGCGTTGGTTGAGAGCCCACCGCCGAGGAACCGTCAAAACCAATGGTCCCATTTGGGTTGGTAGGTGAATTCACCACCCATTTGAGAACCTCTTTTAGTGGTTGGATTGGTTGATGTTCACTGATACCATTTGGATTTTGACCCATGGCCATTTCTCAGTTTTCGACTTGAGAGGACTCGGAGAACCCCGTGTGCCTCTTTGACACATCCCTGCTGGAGGCTTACCTCCGCCAGGCTGGGTCTAGAACTGGACGCGCCTTTTTTTGATTTGGCTCTGGGTCAACCATTTTGGACTAGGTGCACCACCCATTTTAGTCTATTCCAATGGGGATTGGGATGTTCGCTGAAGACACGGGCTTTTGACCCATGGCCATTTGTGTTGGTGCCCCTTTTGGGGTTGGTTTCAAGGGAGAACGAAAGCCGAGATCCTCCTTGTCTTTTTTTCTCCCCCAAAGCCCCGTTGTGATATATTCCAACATATCATTGCTGGCTGAGAAGGCCAGATAGAATGCCACCTGAATCTAAGGGCTTCATCATGTCGCCGAAAGACATGCCCATATACCCCGCTTTATGTAGTTTGTATTTCTGGTTCGACAGGGTGAGTTGGCGCTGAGCCAACCAAACATCCCGTCCCAACTCCGCTTTAGGACCCACGTGTTGGGAGTTTTTCGGGAGGAGCACATGGAAACCCAAGAGGTAAACGGGTTTGGACGAACAAAAAGGACTGCCGGATCTTTGGGTTAAACACCCTCCATATATTCGAACCGAGTTTGTTTTGGGCTCCCTCTCCGAGGGGTGGCTTGCTCCTAATGGTGCTCGGGTTTCCACTACAAATAAACTCCAGAGGGCTACTGGGATAGACTTCCAGGGTGTAAGACCAAAGAAAGCACCGTTGGACGAGCCAAGACTCGTCTTCTTTTCTGGCAAGCTGAAAAACACAACCGTGTTATAGCACCCCAGCCCAATGTGTTTATTTGAATTGACAGAAGAGTCAAGTAACCCCGAGTTGGTTTGGAGCTGCTAGATGGGACACTGGAAGGCCACCAAGCCACCAGCTTCTGCTCCAAGCCACACGGAGGCCGAAGGCCAAGTTTTTTTTTTTTTTTTTCTTTTCGGGGGTGGTTTGGTGCTTTTGAAGTCTTGGTGGCGGTTCGTAGCAGGGTCCGGTAAAGAAGTTATCTTTGGGTGTTGAATTTCTGGGGAGGGATTCAGCTCGTGTGGCTCGGGTTTCGGGGCTTTCGGTGGGTTTCAGAAAACCTTCGATCCGCCAGGTGCCGAGCAGGCCTGCGGCCACGTGGCCAATGGCGCCCCGGCGGAAAAGAGTTGGCGACCCCTCAACGGTCAGCGCTCCTCGTGGTTTGGTGGTTTTTTGGAGGGGTTTTCCTTTTTCACCCTCTAGAACCAGGGGCGTTTGAGCAAACCAGCAATCCAAACCACCTCAGGGATGTCCTAAAAGGGGTTGGTCTCGTAAATGGGAAGGACAAAGGTTTCAGCTCGCTTTGCATTGAAAGGTACCTTGAGAGGCTTTTGACCCGCGATCCAGAATTTTGACCCGTGTCGGGTGTCTGGTTGGAAAGGATTCCCTTTCGGAGTTGTAAAGGCGATCCACCATCGTTGTGTTTGTTCCTTCAGGGACCGCATGAGTAACCTAGGTCCATTCCACCCTACGGGTTTACACCCTCGGACTCCTTCCTTGCTCCCCTTCATCAACACCGGTTGGTTTTGGGGGTGCATGGTTTGCCTTTTCCACAGTTTGTGGTTGATAAAGAAGCAGCCCCGTAGAACCCATTTTTTTTTAAGGGAGGCTGTTCATGCCACTGGAAATGGCAAACCCTGTTTGGGGGGTGCATGGCCCAACAAGTTGTTTGAAACAATGAAGCTGGTCCGACCAGAAGACACCGGTCCCGTTGGTCCCGTTGGTCCGGGTTGAGAGAGTCATGGAGGTGTTTTGCCAAAGGACGAGAAGATGGGTCCACCGGTCCGGTCCAACGTGGGTCCGGTTTTTAGTGCGTCATTGAGGTGCTGGCGCCCCGGTTGCCTTTGTCCGTGGTGGACATGGACTTCACAGAGAGGGAGAAGTTGCACATGCACGCCATGCCGCTTGATTAGTCTGGGGGAATAGCCCCCAAACCACCGCAAGTTTCAGGCTGGTGAAATATTATAATTCCACCCAGCTTCAGGGAGTTGATAAAAGGCGCCCAGGCTTCAGGCCAAGCCGCATGAGACGAAGGCACTGAAAGTCTTCGGGGCCAAGGCGCTAGGCATATGGCGATCCCATTTTGGGGTGGATGAACTTTTTTATTTGCCACCTATTTCGATGTTCACGGGTACAGGGTTTTGACCCACAGCCACATAGCGTAGTGTCTGGAGGTTCTATGAGAAGAATCCTGATTGGAGGATTGGACATATGTTGGAGGCTTCTTGGAGACGGACACCGTTTACCCTTTTCCCGCGAGGGGGATTTCTTTTTGTGATACGAACTCATCCCGGTTTCAGTGCTCAAACAAAACCAGAAGTTCAGAAGGAGATGTATCAGCGTGGTTTTCGTTTCGCTGTTTCGGGGCGACTTTAGGGCAACATCATGCGAAAGGACAGAAATTGGCCAGGCCGAATAGATGGTGTTGCGAATTCTTCAATACCAGGCGTTGATCATGACTACTGGGACTCTTGGGGGGTTGGCAGGTCAGGGTTCAGCTGGGGAGCCAACTTCCAGAGGCAACGTGCACTTTGTTTCCAAGCCACAGAAGGGGAAGCGACAGGTTTCGAAAACCATAGTAGCTGGGACAGCATCCAAGTGGGTAGAGTTTTGGGACAAGAAAGGCGCTGACTTCTAAACCATCTACGTCGGCAGACTGAGAGTGACTTGGGCCGAGGTTCGGCCTGACCCGGTCCAGTCTGCGCCAGCTCTTTATGAAGCACGCAGACGACCCAGCCCCCTCACTTGCAGTGAGCGGGAGGTGGTTGAAGCGCAGATTCGGCTGACGTGCTGTGAAGGTTTTTTCCCTTCACAGACGGATCCATGGTCTCAACTTCCCACAGAGCAGGGGTCACTGACTGCATGATGGTTGTGGGAAGCGGGGTTTTAGGTTAAACGCATCTTAGTGAATCCCACTTTGGGTATCACAGGGCTGTGTCCCAGCATGCCGAAACCTTTTCGGCTTTCACCTCCTTGAAATTCGCAAGAGTTGAGAAGGCTACGGATGCCCTCGTGACACGGGTGCAAGGGTTGTGGGAAGTTGCCCTTTTACCCTTTTTTTGGTTGGGAGGGTTCCCCTACTCGAATAGACTACAGGAAAAAAATCGGGTACCCTTATTTTAACCTCCAGTTTCTATGTCGGACATCCGCCGTCCCCCTGGTTTCCTTGTGGTGTGCCTTGGTTGCTCCTGGCTCTCCTAGCCCGAAAGGTGATCATCGTCTAGGGGCCAAATGGGTATGAGTCAAAATTAAACCACCAGACCGCAGGTTCTAGTCGATGTTTCCATTTACCAGGGTTCTATTTTGGGGTTACCCTATTTTTGACCCATACCCAAGTTTCTCTCCTGGGCCTTGGGAGCAATCCTTGGCCTGCAAAACGCCCCCTGCCTGTGGTCCTTTCGATGTCCACTTGAGACAGATAGACAAAGAGATAGCAAAGAGACAAACATGGAAAACAAGATGAATGGGTGGATATCGTCAAGTTGATAGTAGGAAACCAATTAATGAATCCACTAATGACGTAATATCTAAATCGACGAAGAACCAAATGAATCGACACCTATGCATGCATATATACGTAGCAATACAATAACATGCATGGATGCGTGGGGGGGGGGGGGGGGGCGACCACACAAATTAACCGTTCGTTGCCCCGAAATTCGCAGGCGGAATCCTCTCGTTTCTTTTTGTTGGGTGGGGGGGGGCTTTTAATGGGGGGGGAATCCCCGGTGCTGGGCTGGTGTCGAAGTCGCCCGGGAGTTTCACGCGCGAAATGCTTTCGGGGTTCCACCGTGAATGTTGACCCCGGAATAATCAACCCCTGTTTATCAATATGGGGGTGTTCCCTCCAAAAGTGATACCCCATGAAACCCCCCATATGAATAAACAGGGGCTTGTTCATCTGGGTACTTCCGCGTCGATCCCACCGTTCGCCATCTCATCATGGGATTTCGGTTCCGTGAGGCTCGCTTCCACGAGCTCCTGGCCGAAGGGCTCCGGGAGTGCGTCCACCGCCGCAACGTGCCCTCTGCCCGTGGCCTGGCAAGGGAAGCCAGAGGCTAGTGAGGGTGGACAAAATCCATTTTGCACCACTTGGGGTAAATCAACCCCTACAATTATATAATTGGAAATTGGACAAACTTCCTACCAACTGGTGCAGGATTTTGTCCGTGCACAGTGGTGGGAGGGGGTGTGGACTGTGTTGTTGCATTTGCCACTGTTGCCACTGTTGCCACTTTTGCTACTTTTGCCACCTTTGCCACTGTTGCCACCTTTGCCACTTTCGCCACTTTTGCCGCTTTTGCCACTCTTGCCACTTTTGTCGCTTTTGCCGCTTTCACCGCTTTTGCCGCTCAAAATCTATATGTCTACTACCAACCTTTTTCCTGTCGCTTCTCAAAATGCTTGTGGTTCTGGGTTTGTCAAAAGTGGGCGGGGTTACAATCAACGACGGGTGTCAACCCCCTTTACAGATTCCTTTCAAAGTGCGGCTTTTCCTGGGGTGGGCCAACAGTCCCGACGATACCAAATTCAAGTTCTCCACTATGTTGTCCGGGTTTTCAAGCTGCTTAGGCGAAATCGTTCGGACGACCTCTCCGCTGATGGTGGCATTCAGCCCGGACGAGGGAAAGTACGACCAGAACCTCTTAAACGAGGCAGGGGCTTTCAAGTGGATCCAGAGTTTAGCGTTCCACTCAGCCTTGTGAATGCGGGCATGATTCCCTGCCGTATCGGGCTCCAGAGTCTCCTTTCGAGGACCCTCAATGTTGGGATTTCCAATACGCGTCTTCATCGTATTGTGGCAAGCACCTGGAAGCACATGGTCGGGTCAGCTGCGCGGGGCATCACCTCCTAATGCGCTAAGCTTCCGAACGGTGTCGCCAACTAGACAAAGCGTTTGAAGTTACGTGGTTGGTTGCGGGGTTTATGGCCTATATCTTGATTGGGACACACTTCAGCATCGCCAGCATTGCCAGCATCATCAGCAGCAGTCACAGGTTGCTTTGTCAGAATGAGCTTCGTGTTGTATCCTAATTCAAAACATGCGACTTTGGCGACATTTTTTTTAAGGGACCTTGGAAGTGCTTGGATCCCTGTGCTCTCCCTTTCAAATCGGCAGGAAACACAGTACCTTCAAAGGAAAACCCACCCATAGCCCCCTCCCCCTGTGGTGTGGTTGGGGGTGTGGTTCAAGGGGTTGGTTTAATCTAAGGCTTGTTTACGGCTGGTTCAGGGTTGATTAAGTTGGTTCCGGCTTGGTTTAGAGAGCGTCAGAAGGTGTGGGTTCAGGGGGTGAAGGGGCCAGGGTCTGGGGACCGCAGCAGCGTTCTGGGGGGGGGGGGAGGATATCATTGGGAGGGGGGGGGGGACGAGCCCGGGACCACACCTTGAAACCTGGATTGATCAACTTTGTCCTCTTTTTGGAAGAAAGGCGAACTGGGGGTGGTTTGATTTTCCAGTACCCGACCAAATCCTGTAGGTCTCGGTTTCCGCTTTTCCCAAGAAACAATTTGTCAGGTCCTGGCCTTGTGCGAGGGGCTGACGGAGAACGACGAGGACCTGATGGTGGTGCTCGGGGCAGAGGCCGAGCGCCAAAAACGGATCCGCATACGACGAGCAAACAAGGGAAAACCGCTGTGCCCTCAAGCCGAAAGCTTCGTTTCGACATTCCCAATCGTATCAGGCAGATATCAGACAGGACCATACCCAACAATGGGCTTGTGCTCATCAGAGGGGCTCCACGATGTTGGTTTGCCTTACATCCACGATCTCAGGGCTCAACCGCAGGAAGCCTTGATTTGCCCATTTACTTTTTTGAAGTCGTAGCCGGGGAAAACCAGCCTTCAAATGTAGGGCCAATCTGGTTGCCGTCCAATTTGTGGGCAAATTGCCCGGCTGCGTATCCCATCCATGTAGGGTGGTTTCCCCCCCTCATTTCAGACATTTCAGATTGACCTTTGGCTCTTTTCAAGCGAGCTTTGCATTGGCCATATGTCATCTTGACCTCAGAATCGTTATTCCCCCCCCCCCCCGCCTCCCAAATCCCGACAAGAAAAGATGAAGCACCTAAGCAAAGTCCCCCCTGAAACACCCACCTGCCCCAAAGAACCAAGCGCTCAGCAGGACTTTCCAACGGTTGCAGCATGCCCCTGGGGCGTGCCCGTACTGTTGTCCCGTACACGTCTGTAGATACGTTGCGACATCATTCGTCAAACGTGGCCACCAATACCATCGCTGTGTAGCATAGCATAGCACACCGAGTACGCTCCGGCGACTGGTGGGCACGAGTGGGCGGATCGTGGTAATGTGCAAGTATCTCTGATCGTAACCCATAAAATTGGGAATTACCAAGGCACCGTGGTAATACCAAAGGCCATTCTGCTGCTGCCACCCAAGACACGTGATAGAAACATCATTACGCCAAGCGAGCAGGCTGGTGTCTTTAGTATATCCGAGCGCAACGCCCGCGAGAAATGCGGTTGCCCAAGAGCATCTAAGACCTGGGCAAGCAAAATCTCCCCCCCCCCCCCTCCCAAATCCCGACAAAAAGAGGAAGCGCCCAAGCACAAGGAAGCCATAGGTTCTGCTTAGATCCCGCGGTCGTCCAACGAATCCGAGCCAGGTGATGCTCACAGAGTTCCGCTCCGGGCAGACCCAGAGCCGCCGCCGGGCTGAACGAGACGAGACGAGAGAGTCGACTGGGGCTGTTTCCGGTTCCTGGAAGCCGGTTCCCGGCGGTTCCCTTTTTTATGTTTGTATTTTAACATATTTGTTTTTGGGGTTGAAAGATCTTTGCGACTCAGGTGTCTTTTCGTTGTTGGAGCAGGACATGCTTTGAGGTTACCGCTCAGGGGCCGAGAATGAAAGGAAACGGCGCGATGGAATGAAGTCGTTCTCGTTTTTTTTTTTTTCTTTCTCCTCCTCGAAGTTGGCATTGCCCCGCTGTTTGGAGTGACAGGGGACACCAAAAGCCACCTTCTGGTTGAATCCAGTTCACTCTGGGTGGTTTCAAGGGGCCATTTTGAAGGCAGAATTCACAAAAGGGGTAAATATATGATGGGTTCTCCATGCATTTGTTGAGAGAAAGTCAAGGAAACTCAAACTTTTCACCCTGCATTTGGCTTTTCGAGGAAATTCTACATACCACGGCACCTGATTTTGAAGATTGCTCAAACTCGGTTGATTCCCAATTCTGAACCAGCGTTCTGTTGTCAAACACCAGCGTTTCGCTTGGTTTATGTTGGTGCTCTGGAAAGACGGAGACCTGGACCATCTTCCAGGACCACCCTGTGAGGTTTGGGTCAAAATTAAACTACTAGGGGACCGCAGGGTTTTAGAAACCATGCTTCCGTTTACCAGGGCAAGCCGTTTTGGGTACCTAATTTTTGACCCACAGCCATGTGAATTGGTGGGAGGGGCTTGCCCCTCACCACTCGATGGCCCTGGTTTACCTGCTGGGAGTGAATCATCTACCAGGGAAACCCATCTATTTCCCCTAAAAGGACACCCATGACCCTATAAGGTTCCATGTTTTAATTGGTGGGAGGGCTCAAGCTCCTCACCACCTGGGAAGTTGGCTGCATCAGTGCCATGGCAATTGACTGGCGGTTTCCATTGGAACTGCTACTCTTGGAGGTTCCAAAGAGGGACATGGAGGAAACCCTCGATTTTCAAAAACCCTTGCAACATCCCAACCGGCCCTTGTGAGTCTCGCCGGGTTCTGAAATCGGCCCTCAGAGGCATCGACACAGCGGTGCAGCAGCTGGGGGAGTGGCTGCGGAAGGCGTGGTCAAGTCGACGCGACAAGTCGGAGATGAACATTTTCGGAGCCCCCTCGATTTTGGTGGTTGTTTTTATTTGGGGGTATCTTTTTCTTTGGGGTGGTATCTTTGGGGTATCCTTTTCTTTGTTGCCTTTTTGGCTGGTATCTTTTGGCTGGATGTTAGGACTTTAACTTTTTGCCAACTGATGGGTTTTCCACTAGAAGTGAAGCTTTTGGCAGGGGAGCAGATTGCAACCGAGTTTTATTTGGTATCTTCTTCTTTGGGGTGCTGGGGAAGGGAAACCAACCATGGGGTCCCTTTGAGAAACGCTCGAACGTAGGCACCGTCCAAAAAAGGCACGGATCCCAGACCCGAAATCAGTCGGATGGGCACGGGTGGACACTAGAAAGTTCTCCACATCCTCTGGTGGTTGGTATGTTGGTCTGGGTTTGGATTGAATCATGGGTGATCCACCACATCCTCTGGTAGTTGGTATGTTGATCTGGGTTTAGGTTCAACCATGGGGTGCTTGCCCGCACGAGTTTCCCCGGTGCATCGGGCACTTGCCTCGAGGTGAACTCTCAGTGCACCGTCTGCGATGTTTTAAGCTGGGCCGCTGGGCTGCAACGATCGGGAGGCGTGGCCAGAAAGCTCCGGCGGGTGCGACTTCCACACGGAAAAGCGGGAAGAGCCACTTGCCGACAGGATGCTCAAACCGCTCCTTGCCCCCGTGAGTTGCGTATTTTGTGAAGCGTCCTTGTTTGCATTGCACTGAAGCGGGGTTGAAGCTTGCGATCAAGAGGGTTTGTGCAAAACAGCCAGTTGGAGAGGTCCCCGATTTTGAGGCACCCTTACAAACCTATTGCCAACTTCAGAGCTGATGTCAAGCATCCAATGACCGCTTTCGCCACAGGGTCGATTCCCTTGCGAGCTTCCTTTTGTTGGGGCGAAGCTGAACGGGGAGCCAGACTCCTTGCGGATTGAAAAGGAACTGACCATTCTTGGGGGTTTCTTGGAGGCCCCTGTGGTTCGTCTGCAAGCCGAACAGCCAAAATGGGTCGAAGCCTTTTGAAGTTCGCATCGCTAAGCTAAACGATCATACCTCTATCTTGAACAAGGCGCTCCTCAAACATGTCTGGCGGAACGTGATGTCGGCCAAAGGGGGCAAGCAGTTTGACGCCAACTGGGCATGCTTCTTGAGGGTATCTTGCTGTAGTTTTGCTGGGGGATCAAGGAAGTAAAACACGAGCATCACATACCCAACGATGAAGGTATGATGTGAAGCCCTACCAAAAGCAGACAGGATCCACTTTGGCAAACTTGTGTCTTCCAGCAAATGCAATGTACCCTCCCACCCACTAACATGAAAGTGCACAAACCTCTGTAGAA